AGCATCAGAGGCATAGTCTGGGTATGAAATTCTCCACCTAATTTCTTATACTTAGCATTTAAAGAAAGGCCCCCTCCCCCAGTGCAGCTCTTCCACCACACTCTTCCACCACCTGGCTCTTGAGTGCCCTTCTAGGCACCACCTGCAGAAGGGAAACAAATTCCCAGAGGAGTGGTTTGGGAAGCAATAGGAAATCCTCAGGCAGATGGATGCTTTAGCTTTTAATCAAACACAATGCCTAGATTTTCACCATTAGGATCTCATCTCTTTGAAGCAAGACTTGCTGTCTTTGGACTTCCCTGAGAAAACACAAAAGCCCCCTGGAAGAACAATTCTCTGAGCCCTCAGTGTGGGCAAAACCAGCCAAACCTTCCCACCCCTACGATGAATGGGCTTACTGGGAGAGGAGAATAGATAATATGGTTGGGGCTTGGAGGAAGCATGGAAAGGGGTAGTCCAAGATACCAAGCAAACTTTCTAGCCTGGTGCCACCCATGTCTCTTGTCTCATCCCATGCTCTTACTCCTCAGCAAACCCACAGAGGAACTTCCAGCCAGGAAGAAGTACCTGCAGACCCATAAATACTCTTGGCCCTCTCCCATGACTGCGCCATGTGCGTGTTCCACTAGAGGAATGTTCCTCCTCTCCCTTCTCACCCTATGTAATTCCTACTCGTGCTTCAGCGCTCAACCTCTGAGGCCTCTCCTTAATTTAGGTTTGGGTTTCTCCTTTCTTTGAGATCCCACAGACCAGGCTTCCTTATTAAAGCACTTATATTGCACTGTGATAGATCTCCCATCTTCACTGTGGACTAATTAAAGTCAAAAGTGTACCTATTTAGCCCCAGAAACCCAGTGCCCAGCCCAGGTCTGGCTCATGGTAAGGATTCGGTGATGAATAAAAGCACAGGCAAACAACCCTTCCTGGGGCCCTTGGTATCTGCCCTGTTGTGGGGTCAGTTTCTTCCTCCTTCCCTTCCATGTGACTTTGAGCATGTCACTTGCCTTGTTGAGCCTCATTTCATCACTCATCACCTGTAACATGAGGTCAGTACTTACACGCACTGCACAAGCTTGTCATGAGGTTTAGAGGATAATATGAAGGTAAGAAAGAGGGACAGTGCCTGGTGTTGGTCACTATAGCAGGAGGAAGGTGGCTGGGTGTCTCTGGGATGGTGTAAGGGCAAGGCTGTTGGTGTGTGGGTGAGGTTTTAGAAGCGGGAAGGTGTGGAGAGCCCCAGACCCCAGGACAGTCTCCTCACTGTGGTTTCTCTATCTCTCACTTCACCCACGAGGTGATGACCTGGGCCCATGGGCCACCACCTCTCACATTCCATCCCCATTGCCCAGGTACCTCGTTAGGGACACCTCCGTCTCCCAACCCTAGCCTGCTGGGGAAGGGTCAGTTGCTGGTGTGAAATTCACAGTCCTTGGAGAGTTTGCATTTCCACATCTCCTGTGTTAGGGCTGGTGGAAGGTGATGAATAAAAGATGGGAATAAGGGGAGCTCCTGTGGCTTTAAGAGAAATGTGATGAGCATTTAGAGTGGAGAGATTAGCGCAAGAGCCTCTCTCTGAATACCAAAAATGAGGGGTCCAGTATCAAATGTAAAATAAACCAAAATAAACCAGAAAGCCACCTTTCTGCTTTGATATGGTAGGAACCCACAGGAAGGAGAAGGGGGCCTGGGGACCTTGGGTAAATGTAGAGACTCAGGTGAAGGCATCTGGAACCATCAGGAGAAAAGTTCAAGAGGAGGCATGGCCAAGGTGACCCAAGGGCTGAGAACAGGGCAGTGAGGGTAGAGGAGTCCAGGTGCAGCCCCCTCCTTCCCAATGCTGACATTATTTTTGGATGCTGAATGTAATTACCACCACCCCCAACAAAAAGATATACTCCTATTTAAGAGACTGTGAAGAAAAGGCTGTCTGTGTGGCACGTAATGGGAGCCCATGTGGGTAGCTTATTGTTACTAATAATAATGAATCACTATTTACTGCACTTTTGTCATATACCAGACACAGTGACAAGTGCTCTCCATGCATTACACTTTCCAGTCCTCACAACTTCATAAGAGTGTTACCATTACTATCCCCTTTTCATTAGCAAGGAAACTGAGGCATTCAGAGGTTATGTAACACGCTCCATGTTACACAGCTGGTGAGCGGTGGATCAGGATTTGAATGCATGTCAGCCTAACTCCCTGGGGAGCATTATGGTGGGGTATGCTGAAGGCAGTGGTTAAGGATGTCAGCTCTATCCTGAGCTCAGGAATGACCCAGCAGTTCACACTTGTATCTGTCTTCTGGACAGTTGCTCCTGGGAGGAAAACATGTGAGACCCACTGGCCGAAGGGGATGAGTGATGGAGTAGTGGGGTGGGGTCCATTGCTGCAGATTTGTGCTTCAATGTAAGTGGATGACCACAAGGAGTTGTGTGGACATTTTTGGGCATTTGGTGACATGAGACTTTACAAAAGGGCACATGTGACATTATCTCCAAGTGTGTGTATGACTGTTGGTATATGATTGTATGTACATGTGTCTGTGTGAGTATAACTGCGATGGGTAAGCCTATGCCATGAAGGTGAAGGTGGCTGACATTACAGGATGTGTTTTTGTATGTAGAATTCAGTGACTAACATATATAAAACACACAAATGTGTGTGATTGGTGTAAGTGTATTATTGCATATATGATTGTACGTGTATGTGTGAAGTGCATAAGCATTTCCATGACTGTAACATGAGCCAATGTGTGACTTAGTATATGAATGGTATGCCTGTGTGTAGAGGCAGGTAGGAGCATGTGTGTATGTGTGTGTGTGCCAAGCCCAGATGGTCACCTCTGATTCCCTCCCTCCCCCAGTCTCTCTCCCAGTGACAGAATTGAATGTCTGTCAAGATGCTTAAAATAGGAGTCATTTGCCTCAGTGTAAAGATCCTCAAGGCGACATTCTGGACATGGAACTTTCAACTGCAGATGCACAGCAGAGCCCCAGAGTCCTGCTTAACCCTCAGATACTCCCAGCATCCCTCCCAAGCCAGGGAGACACTTCTGGCTCTATCCTTAAGAAAGATCAAGCCTCAGGGCACCTGGGTAGCTCAGTCAAGTTAAGTGTCTGCCTTCAGTTCAGGTCATGATCCCAGGGTTCTGGGATGGAGCCCCACATGGGGCTCCCTCTTCCGTTGAGCAGGGAGCCTGCTTCTCCCCCTCCCTCTGCCTGCTGCTCCCTCTGCTTGTGTGTGCTCTCTCTCTCTCTGTCAAATAAATAAAATCTTAAAAAAAGAATGGTCCAGCCTCAGAAAGAGTGTGTAGTGTGTGTGTGTGTGTGTGTGTGTGTGTGTGTGTGTATAATATCCATTCTTCTTCCTATCCTTTCACAGCTGGAGAAACTGAGGTTCAGACAAGTTGAGAGTCTTGCCTACAACTTCAGGTCCTAATTGCTTTCCCCTAAGGTCCCCTAATTTTCTGAGCTTTTGCTTCATAATTTCACCTCTTGTCCTGTCTGAAATGAAGACAACCAATTATTCATCCAACAATTATTCAGCACTTCCACCCTGTGAGCAGATGACACGGTCTATCAGCCTATAACCAACTCTTCAAGGACTAGGTAGTCATCTTCACGAGACTCCCTTGAGCCTCAAATCCAGGGGGAAAACGGTGCGGCCCCACAATGGTGTGGAGCTGTCCTTGGTTCTGAAACTGCACAGCAGGCATCCGCCTCCAAGGCCTGATCTGGGGTCACCTCTGGACTTTGGGATGACCTGAAGCTGAATTATTGGAAGCATAGAGTCAGGGTCAGGGGAGGTGATTTCCCTGCCATGCATCATGCTGGCCTGCCATGTCTAAAGCCTTGCCTCTTTTCTTGCCTAAACACTCCTCATAGAGCTTCTCAAAGGCTGGGTATGGCTGATGTAGCCAAGGTCCTGGTTCAGTGATATTTGCTGGACTGAGCTGAAGGGAAAAAACAGGCCCTTGAGTGCGTCCATGAGAGTATACCATGGTGGAGGTGATCTGGGAGTCATAGCAAGGGGAGCGTCACCAATCATTGTCTTCAGATCCTGGAGGGACTGTTCTGGGAAAGAGACTCAGGCTAGCTCTTCCTGGGACCACACACTGGAGACTTCAGGAAGAGAAGGGCTTCCCAAAAGTGAGAAAGACAAAACATTCAGTTTTTCTAGGGTCTTCATGACAGCAGACCAGCCCTTTGGCACAATGGTTACTATTTATTGAACACCTATCACTTGCTTGCCACAACGTAGGGGCATATATATCATTAGCCCCATGTTACGGATAAGGAAACTGAGGCCCAGAGAGGGGAGTTGACTTGTTCATGGTCACATGCCTGGCAAATAATTGGGCTGAAATGATACCCAGGCATGTGATTCCGTGTGCTGTTAACCTGACCAATCCAGAAGGTGTAGAATTCCTACCTTCTCCCTCATGTCTCCCCACAGCCTTCTCTCAGCTCCCTCCCCTCCTCCTCCCCTTGGGTTGAGTTTTAAGGAAGAAATAAATTAAAAATGGTTGAGGCACCCAGCCCAGAGTGTGGGGCCTGATCCGATTAATACTGATGTTTCTTTCATGAGGGATGGGACAGCGTTTCTCACCCGCAGCAACCCAGGGCAGTGGAGGAAGCTGCCTGCAAGTCACCAAGGCCTCCTGGCTCTGCAGGTTCTCCAACCCGCCCTGCCCCACCATCTGCCATCACCCTCCCCACCTCCTATGCTCCCCACAGCACAGCCACAACTCTCAGAAGCTCCACCGAACTCCAGCTGCCTCTCCCAGACAGCCTGGGGCAGCAAAACAAGCCCAGACTTTGGGTCAGACCAGAGTCTAGATCCTGCCTCTGCCTCTTTCCCTGAGACCTTAGAGAAGCCACATAAGCTTTGGCTTCTCCTCCAGTAAAATGAGGAAGATGCCTGCCTCACAGAGCCGCTGTGAGGTGAGTTCATACATCCAGGGCTTGCAACATAGTTTATTTTCTCTTGGTTATCACTCAACAAATAGTCATTGCTGTTACTACTGCTGCTGGAGTGGTGGTAGTAGTAACGCTGCTGCTGCCGCTACTACTAGTACTAGTAGTAATCCTGCCACTGCTACTAGTACTAATGCTGCCGCTGCTGGTAGTACTAGTAGTAATGCTGCTGCTGCTACTAGTACTAATGCTGCTGCTGCTGGTAGTACTAGTAGTAATCCTGCCGCTGCTAGTAGTACTAGTAGTAATGCTGCTGCTGGTATTACCAGTAGTAATGCTGTCAATGCTACTAGTACTAATGCTGCCACTGCTGGTAGTACTAGTAGTAATCCTGTCGCTACTAGTAGTACTAGTAGTAATCCTGCCACTGCTGGTGGTACCAGTAGTAATCCTGCTGCTGCTGGTAGTAGTAGTAGTAACGTTACCACCGCTACTAGTACTAATGCTGCCGCTGCTGGTGGTACCAGTAGTAATGCTGCTGCTGCTAGTAGTACTAGTAGTAATCCTGCCGCTGCTGGTAGTACTAGTAGTAATCCTGCCGCTGCTGGTAGTACCAGTAGCAATCCTGCCATTGCTGGTAGTACCAGTAGTAATCCTGCCGTTGCTGGTAGTACCAGTAGTAATCCTGCCACTGCTGGTAGTACTAGTAGTAATCCTGCTGCTGCTATTAGTACCAATAGTAATCCTGCTGCTGCTAGTAGTACCAGTAGTAACGCTGCCGTTGCTGGTAGTACTAGTAGTAACGCCGCCGCTGCTGGTAGTACCAGTAGTAACGCTGCCGCTGCTGGTAGTACTAGTAGTAACGCTGCCGCTGCTGGTAGTACCAGTAGTAATCCTGCCGTTGCTGGTAGTACCAGTAGTAATCCTGCTGCTGCTGGTAGTACTAGTAGTAATCCTGCTGCTGCTAGTAGTACCAATAGTAATCCTGCTGCTGCTGGTAGTACCAGTAGTAACACTGCCGCTGCTGGTAGTACTAGTAGTAACGCTGCCACTGCTACTAGTACTAATGCTGCCGCTGCTGGTAGTACTATTAGTAATCCTGTCACTACTAGTAGTACTAGTAGTAATGCTGCTGCTGCTAGTAGTGCTAGTAGTAATCCTGCCACTGCTGGTGGTACCAGTAGTAATCCTGCCGCTGCTGTACTGCACTACTATCACTGTGTTGATGAACGGAAGCATTTTCCATCCTGAGTGGGAATAAGACATGGGTGAAAACCAAGATGGTTGGAGTTGAGGCCCATTCATGGAGGAGCAGGGCACGCCTTAGGGAAGCCCCCAATTTCTCTCCACCAGCCGTGTCACCAGGGGTGGGGGGGGGACAAGCAACAGAAATTCTGCTGGACCAGACCCCAGTTATTGGGAACTTGCCTGGCCTGACTTTGCAGCTAACTGACACAGATGGGAGTCCCTCAGATGGAGGCCAAAGGCATCTCGATCCCTGGAAAAGCTGGTGCTGGACAGTGGGGCTGGCATCTGAGGACTAGTAGTTTTCCAATGGTGAATCCAGGGTCTGACAGACTCACCGCGCAGCCACAAGGCCACTGACCAACCACAGGGGAGCACGGCAACACATGGGCTTCCTGTCGGCAGCCTGGCTCCCAGAAGGAAAGATCCCACCACCCTCATGCTGAGAGCGCTGGGCCTGAGCACTGCCCCTCTCTGAGCCCCTGTTGGCTCCTCTGTGAGATGGGGCCAACAGAACCTTCCACAGCCGTGGCCGAGGTTATGGGGTGCAAATGAGGCAGAGGAGCAGAGGGCCGAGGCTGCCTCTAAGGCTTCCCGCCCCCTGTGCTCTCAGGGCTAGGACCTTTCACTGGGTCTGAACCCCCCACAGACACCTGGGTGCAGGTGACCCACAGACGGCTCCAGGAGCTGCCCCTAGCCCCCAGCCATGGAGCAGCCCTCAGCAGCGGCTCTGAGCCTCCCTGCATTGCGTGCAAGACAATGCACATGGCAGTGAGGAGGAGAAGGCGGGGAAGCAGCCGGGAAGCCTGGGGCCCAGGGGAGCACCCTGCACGCCAATCTCCCTCACGCAAGGGGCTTGACACGCAATGGGAAGACGTCCACCAGGCCTCCTCTTCACGCTCCCCCCGTCCCCCTAAGCACACCTAGGAAAGCGTAGTGACCCCAGCCTCTGCCCCAACTCTAGTCTCTGTTCCCTGTCTGTCCATCTGTCCATCTATCCTCTGAAAGTGTAGACTGGCTGCCTACCTCTCCTTTGATCTGCTTTCTGGACTATCACTATGCCTGTCTGTCTGCCTGTGATTCTGTCGGTCTGTCGGTTGAAGGCTCCCTGTGGGTCAGACTGGTTGTCAGTCTGTCTTTCTGTGGGTCTTCCTCTCTTTTCCTATTAAGTCTGACTGTCCTCCCAATGGACAGATTGGCCTCCTGTTTTTCAAGTCTACCTGCTGTCTGTCATCACAATAGTCTGTCAGTCTGTCTCTGTTAACTATCCTTTTACTGGTCAGCCTGGTTGTCCAACTGTCTTTGAGTTTGTGTGTTTTCTTCTGTCTACCTGGCAGTCAGTCTGTCCTGCCTTCCTATCTGTCTCCTCTCTATCCACCTTGTTATTCCCCATCCCCACTTCTCTCCATATGTGGAGCTGGGTTCACTCTTCACCGAAAGCCACCTCGCTTGGCCCTGAACCAGGGCTGGCTGCCCCCAGTGAGGCAGAGCAGGCAGCCAGTGAGCCAGGACCCCCCCCCTCCAGCCCTCCAGCCCCAGCTCAGCTCCCAGCCTCCATGGCACAGCATCTCCCTTCGTTCAGCCCTACACTCCTCTCTCCAGCCCTCGAGTCTTACAGAAAGATTTATCAAAAGGTATTTGGGGAAGACTAGGTTCAAATTAATGGTGAAAATAAGGTTTTATGATTCCATTTCAGCTTTATTCCTCTACTGATTTTCTCCATTACCACTGAGCATCAATTGCGAATGGCTGTTCTCCACAGTATTTATGGTAATGCAGGTTAATGTCTGAGTTCGAGGAGCTCAATTAGCAAATTCATGGACAAGGGGGTCTGTTTGTGCTTGTGAGCCCGATGATTAGCCACAGAGAGATGCTGGGTTTCATGTCCACCCACAAAACATCAGCCACTGTTCTCCCAGGTGTGTGGTGCCTTGTTCAGAGCTGGTGTTCAGGGAGCAAGTGTCTCTTTGTTCCCTGTACCCATCAGAGTCCTTGGCACAGAGTAGGACCTCAGTATTTGTTTGGCACTCAGCCTCGAGCACATGGCAGTCATCTCTAAATGTTAAATCAATTAATCACTTTGTCCTCAGTGCCAGGCACAGAGCTTGAAACAAAGGAGGTGCTTGATATTTGTTGAAGAATTGATACATTCCTGATCTTCCATGCCTAACATGGGGTTGCCACATGGTAAATGTTGACTGACCAACTGATTGATAACGATTGAATGAATGAATGAATGAATGAATGTTACTGGTCTTTTCCAGCAGCATGGCCTTCTGGATCCCCAGAATCCCACCCTGAAGGTGACTAGAAGAAACAAGATTTCAAGGAGGGGTCCCAGCATGGAGGGTCTAGGGCTGGAGGAGATGTGCGGAGCTCCTGTCCCACCCTAGGGCCAGACTTGAGAAAGTGGAACATCTGCTTCCAGGTTCATGGCTTCGGGGTTTCCTGGGCTGGAGCATCCAGGCTGAGTAGAAGAGTCGCAGGGGACATCTGATAGTTGCCCAGCCCTGATTTTCAGGGTGGAGAAGCTGCACAGAGAGAGGAAACTGGTCTCCCTAGTGCCCTCCCAAGACTTCTTGATGGAGACTTATCTCTTGGTGATGCAAGGCTGGGTGATTGATCTCATTTTGCAAGTGTGGAAACTAAAGCTCAGAGAGGGCAAGTGCTTCTTCTGAAGTCACACAGCAAGTTAGTGGCTGAGTGAGAATTTGAACACAGGCTTCTGTGTTCTTTCCTCTGCTTCCTGCTGCTCCCCAGCCCCATCCCTTGTCCTCTCTGGGCCTCTGATCTCCTGCACCCTCTCCCACTAGAATGTCAACTCCCTGAGGGCAGGGATCTTTTCTGTGTTCACTGATGTCTTGCTGGTGCCTGGGACTGGGCAGGCCAATGACAGAATTTGCAATAAAGCCTCATTGAATAATGTGTGAATGAAGAGCCCCATGCCCACCCCTGAGAGCAGAGCATAACAACCTCCCTAGCACCTCCCACTCATGATGTTCCTACTGTAGGTGTCAGAGGCTGGCGGTTCTCCAGTCTTCCAACAGTCCTGTGGAGACCGCCTTAATCCTGCCCTCATTTTCAGCCAAAGAACCTGAGTTGACAGAGGTGACTTGGCTTGCCCCAGGTCGCACAGCTAGGGGTGGTAGAGTCAGGATCAGGATTCCAACCCAGTTCATTCTGTTATCTGAACCCTGCGCCCATACCCACTGTCCACCTGCCCTCTGCACCCCTGGCTCGAAGCTAAGCCCACCCAGCTGCCCACCTACCAGCTCCAGTTAAGCCTGGCCCCTGGAACAACGGCTTCCCCAGCCCCAGGCAACATTTGGGGTGCCCTCCTGGGGCTGGAGCTACAGCCGTGACAGGGAGACCAAGAAAGTCCAGGCCCAGGGGGAGCGAGGATAGGCCCTGGGCCGCTCCTTGCCCACTCCGTCTGCCAGGGGTCTCATCAGTGCCAGCAGAGGCCTCTCCATGAGACGAGGCTGACATTTCCTACACAGCCTGCCACGGGCTGCCTGTGTCTCCCCGGAAGGGGCTCTGGTGGGAGGGGGTGTGGCGTGAAAGGCAGGCATGACAGCCAGGCCCCAGAGGCTGGCCCAGCGTGCCCTCTTTCTCCAAGTGCTTGACGAAGAAAGCAGATAAAGCTCCAGCCCCACGCTAAAGGCTCGCCCGAGTAGCTGTCGGCACTTAGGGTTCATGCGTTCCAGGCCCCGCACTGAGCACTTCACGTGCATCCTCTCCTTTGCCCTCACAGCTACACATCAAGGAGGCCTAAGGAACAGCCCCATTTTACAGTTAGGGAAACTGAGACTCAGAGATGTGAAATCGATCGCCTAAGGTCACACAAACAGAGCAGCCGATCCAAGACCAAGTTCTGTTTGACCCCAAGCTCTCGCCCTTAAATTCCACTCTCAAGAGCCTCAGTTGAAAAATGTAAGCCACATAAACTTGGCGCCTGGTTTCAGGAACCCTCCTCTGGCAGCTTAATGAGGCCGGGGAGTTAAAAGACACAGATTCAATCCCGCTTCTACCATGGACTCCCCCGCTGTGTGACCTTGGGCAAGCCACTTAACCCCTCTGATCTGCAGCTGTGACATCCTCAAAATGGAGATTTGTGCACCCACATCTGAGGGGTCATCCTGCTCACAGGATCCCTAGAGGCCTCTCCACCTGCCTCTCTGGTTTCCTGGGCTCAGGAAGACTTTCATATGGAGAAGGAGGAGGGGGCCTGTGGCAATGAGTCTCAGGGAAAACAAACAGCACAGTCTGTGAGAAGGTCCCAAATGTGGAGTGGGCCAGAACCAGTCAAACCCTCATTAGGGATCCGACGACCAGAGAGAAGTGACTTGCCCAAGGTCACACAGCACATCAGCGACCAGGAAAGGATTCTCAGGCCGGCACCTTCCCCCATGCGGCTGCCATGGCAGTAAAAATGTTCAAAGAAATTTAAAAGCTTTACCTTTGGCCCTTAGTTTTTTTCTTTTTAAAAATCTTTATTCCTTTTTCTTTGAAGAGAATAAAACATTGGGGTTCTTGAAAACTCTTTTCCCCCCCATCCTTTTAAACAAAAAATAAGCAAACCCAGTCTAGAAGACCCTGAGACAGAGATGGCATGTGGGCTTCCTCTGCCTGCCCCGCCCCACCCCCCGAGACCCGGCGGCTGTCTCCCGGAGTCTCTGGCGGCTGGCACCATCGCGGAAAGGCCCGGCGGGGGTACCTTCTGGACCAGCTGCTGCATAAGCAGCTAGCAACTTCAGACAGACTGGAAAATCAGGCGCCACTTCAAAGGCTCAATGACAGGCGGCATCGGAGGTAGGAGCATGGAGGTGGCCTCCCCTGACGACCAGCCATGAAGGGGAGGCAATGAGAAACAGCCAACAGAAGGACAGGCACCACCTTTCCCCACGAGCGAGGAAGCTCTTAAAATATTTGTCAACCCCTGAGTTCCAGGGGGTGGATGGGCCCGCCTGGGTGTGGGGTGGGGCAGGAGACCA